GATTCTATGATTCTATGATTCTATATACTGTACACATACATTTATACGCACATAGAGACACAGCATTACAGAAAGCAGGCCCTCATTTTTTAACTAGGCATAGTTGCATAAGATCAATCCCAATACATACTATAATGAAGCTGTTACAAACCAAGTACCGTCACTACAAATTCCACATTTTTTGGTGAAGGATTTTTATTCAGGGTAAATTTAAAAGTCAACGGCCTTTACCAGGACTGAAGGGTTAGGATTGGAGCAGCTTTCTGATATCCCTTGTTATTTAGCTTTTACACAGAACATCTTTACTTACAGTCTTGCACTAAGTTCTGTACAGAACTACAGAGCTAAATGTTAGGCTCCAGCCTAATGCACCTCTTAAGGGAATACATTAATTCAGAAGCAAACACAGTACTATTACACGCTGTGCATTTGACTTACCTTTACAGTGCAGTAAAAAATGCCTATTCATGGGGCTAAACTTTGCACTGAAGTATGTGCACTGGTCTTTCAAGAAGTCGCATGAGAGACACTGACGATTCAAAGATCCCACTGTTGATACACTGGGGAAAAAATTGATCAGAAACATTTTCCATTGGAATAAAATACAATAAACCAAGAATTAGCTCATCAGAGTGATAAAATTTGTTTCAGTCCCTAAACTTGCCAAAAGATCACTGTCTTTTTTTGATGCAAACTGTTTTCAGATGACTCAGTGGACTACTGTTCTGTGAACTGGGGAATGTGGACAGGATCCAAAACCTGCCCAAAGCAGGACTGGAGTTCCAATAATTAGCAGTGCTGCAGGGTAACAATGTTAGTAGGACACCATGAAAAGCCTCATTAACTTCAGATTTAAGCACTGAGGTTTGTGTAAGGAGGAGATGCTTTGCCCATGCACTTTAAATTGCATTATTAGACCCCATAAATATTATTTTTATTTAGAAGATTTTCCTTACTTTTAAAAAATACAGTCATGTTACATGCTTGCATTTAGGTTTAGCTTTTTAGATGCTTATAAAGGACTAGTGAAGACATAAGTGGTAAAAACATTTTGTGTTAAAGTCTTTTCCGTTTTTAAAAAATGTAAAACATCATTGGCACTTTTAGTTTTGAAAAACTGTGATTCTTTCCTTGTTACAGCTCAAGTGTACTCATTTTTACATAATGTAAATGATTACCCAAGCCCCAAAGCAGCAATTAAGCTCACAGAACGTCATCATAGCACTTACGGCTTGGGATGAAGAAGCTGTTAACACAGCCCCATGTACTTCTTACCTATGTAGCTGTCTTCCTCTTGGGGATTCTTCAGTGCTTAAGAAAAAACTGTGCCCAAAAGATGAACAAAGTTAAACTCAGTTTGGTAAACTAACTGATTTGGGTGGTGTTTAGAGAAGTGAGAGATGTCATAAATAACATTTTTTAAAATTAAAAATTCCCAAATATACATGAAGATCAAATACTTATATATAAACCTAGGCTCCATGATTAAACTTAGACCCAGTATACAGAGTAGTTATTTCAGGTGCTATATGATTTCCTATTAAAACAGTGATGAACACAGTATTTCATGGGTTCTATTTAATTCCTGTAAAGCCCCCGAGCTCCAGTAGCAACCAGGATCCCTTTCTGCATATTACAAATACAGAAGAGAAAGTTTCTCCTTCACTCCAAGAGTTTGCAATATAAATCCAAGGCGTAGAAAAAGGTCACAATGAAATTATATCATAAATTACAATAGGCATTATGATACCCGAAAGCCTTTTTGAGCTGTTGAACAACTTTTTCTTCTATCTAGAGACAGAAGCTAGCACCCTAGGCAATGGTTTACAGACAAGGTCACGAGGGTGGAAACTCTCTGAGTGATCTGGGTGAAAATCAGGGTTTTGGATAATGGCCCTATATAATTTGAATTTATGAGATTGAATCAGATCCCCAAACAAAGTCCAGAGATCTCATGCAGTAACCAAGCAAGCATGAAAACTGAAGATTTGGGGATTTTTATCAACTGAAAATTTACTATGATTTCTTTTCTGGAATCCAGGAAAGGGCCACCAAAATATTATTACTGCTGTATTGTGTGTTGATTTCTTTTATTTAAAAAATTCAGTGAGTCAACTGATGCCACGGTATGCTCCTTTTCCCTCTGCATAAAAACACAGGCAGTAATACACTGGCAGATAAATTGTCTGACAACTACATTTTATGTACTTGGGAGTGTAAAATTTATGGTAATGCTCAAAAATGAAAGAAATATTGTAACTTAATTTCAGATACACTATTTCCAGTTAAATGGGTTCCAGTTTAATAACTCAGATATTTTCATAAACAGACAAAGAGAATAGTGCTTACATCTTTTGAGTATTTTCATCATATGCCAGGATTTTGATAACTTCCCAGTTTCCTGATGTCAGGTGTCTCACGCTGATTTGTTCACTTTTAGCCTGGAGAGACATGGAAAATATTAACTTTCACCTTGCTTGTTACATTTTTCTTTGCCTAGCAGGATTGTCTGCATGTCATTACTGATTACATCTTTTTAAACTTTAATGTGCAACATAACATCTTTAAATCACAAACCTCACATTTTGACAGGCCTGAACTTCAAGTATCCTTTCCCTCCATATATAAACTTTTCAAAGTAATTAAAATCATCTCAGTTTCCATCATAATTTTTCTTTCAGTTGCCCACATGCCAACAGAAAATACAAGTCCTATACTTCAAGTTTTGTTTCTCTTACTGTCTCTTTTCCTTTACGGGGGCATAGCAGGGGAATCTAACTCAGACCCCTGTAACCAAAACTCTGCACAAAACTTTCACGTTTATCACATGCTTGTACTGAGCCAAGATTACCGCAGAGATGCTGCGCCAAGACAGGACACCAACACAACCCTCATCAGAGAAGGCGGGCAAACCTCTACGAAAAATGCACCACACCAACTCAGACACAGAAGTTCACAGGATCTAAACCTAGTTAAAGCCCCTGCTCCACCACGCACTCTGGAGAAGCCTCTCTTTATCCAGGGTCTCTAAGGAGAGTCTAAGAGTAGCCTCCCAATTTTGGCAACTGAACCAAATGCTTATAAGTTGGGGAGCACCCCTTGCTCCCTCTCATAAATTGTTTCTACCCCAGTGCAACCCTAGGAGAATAACTGCTACAAGGGGAAATTCAAAACCTCTCTCAAAGAAAGGGATGGCAGCTTTCTCAGCCAATGCACCAGGAACTGAATTAGGAAACATCAGGATGCAATGCATATCTACCCTGAGGTAAAACCAAACTCTTTGGCTGGAAGCTGCAGCAGACTCCTCATCAAACACAGGTTAAAAACAATAAACCTGAAGAGTGAGAAGCTCATTCGAGAGTGCTTCCTAGTGCAAAAGGTAAAATTCTTGCTTAGGCTTCTGAAGATTAAAACTTCAACCATGAACATACTTGAAGAGTGTTTTTTTCTGTACTAGGGCTATGATGCTTGGCCTGGATAGAAACATGCCTAGTTTTCAAATTCAAGACAAATGTTGTAAAGAAAGGAAGTGATACTTCAGCTTATATTTCAGCTTTAGTGGGTGAAACCTCGCAGCTGGAGTTACAAAGGAGGTCAGAGGGAGGATTTAATGGTGCTTTGTGGCATTGCACCCTGTGAATCCAGAGCACCAGCCCATACCTAACCACAGTGGCCTCAGTGGTTATGTGTCCTCCAAAAAGTCATAAAGGCAAAGAGTGGGTTTTTTTAATCCCTGTATTTCTGAACCGTATCTTATAAACTCTGAGCTCTACGTCAACAGCAGCAATAACTAGAAAGCAGAAAATGCTCAAGGACACCTATGAGACATGTCTGGAAAGGACAAGGCAGAAACAAGTCCCTTAGAACTGATCTGTTTTCTAACAGATCCACAAAGAAAAAATGATGTAGTAACTTTATGACAAGTCTTGCAAGGACCAACTGAGATCAGGACGTTGTGCTAGGTGCTGTACATATGTTTATGATGATGGTTCCTTTGTTCAGGAAGGTTCTCATATTCAGTGCTGTCTCCAGGAATGATTAAAATATAAATTAGTGATTTATTACAAGTGACTATTTCTTCTCTAGAGAGAGAGAAGCTGCAACTATTGAAAGAGATATTTTAAAATTGAGATCACAGAATCTAACAAGAAACAGCAATAAAAAGCCCAGCCAAGCGTTAATAAACATGGTTATTTTTCAAGGTTACAGCCGTAATACATAATTTATGAAGCTTGCAGGAAGTTCTTGCCTTGATCCATTAAAGTTAATTTATAATTGTTATTTTGTGGTTGGAAAAAAGAGACTTTCTAGAGTTGCAAAACCCCAAGTAAGAATTTTCTAGATACATAACATGATTCAATCCCATTTTGAGATTAGGTTCTTTTAAATATTTCATACGTTACAAAAAGCATTTGAAAACAATAAAACACACATCTAGCCCTCTACATTCACATAGTAAATAATATATGATAGACAGTAACCCTTTAAACAGTAACCTCCCCTCGCAAGAAGATTTAATTAGATGCTTCTGCTAACCTGCTTTGATTATATCATTGACACACGCTTTTCTAAAGTACAGTCAAAGAAATGCAGCCCAAGAAAGACTATAATTTGTCAGCACTTGTTGCAAGATTGACAAATAAGCCTCAGTGATTAAATATATCTAAAGCGAGCCATTAAAATTTACTTCTTTGTCTCTGTATGTTCACGTTGGTTCTGTGTTTTAACTTTCCTGCCCTTGGAGGCTGATTTCTGTTAATGAGCTGATATCTGTATTGAGTAGTACAGAGAAGTAACGAGAATCTGAATGCCAAATTCCAACGTTATCCGAGCTCCATCATGAAAAAGCTGTGATCATCTGGGTACCGGCCGACTGCTTTAAATCCTGCAGGGCACCTGTTATGCCGCTGTGGCTCTCACAAGGTGTGACAAACATCTGATGTGACAAAAGACTTTATGTGCAACGGTTAATATAATTTTTATGCCTCCATGTTTGCTTTAGAAATAATGGACAATCAGATTAATGCAGTGTGTAAAACACATCATATAAACACATTTCCTGTCCTTTATTGCTCTGTATCAGCCCCATTACCACGCAGAATGTTGCTTATGGATGAATAATGGTTGATACATGGAATATCACATTTCTTCTTCTTCTCAGGAGTAGCTACATACTTAAAGCCAAATTTGTCATTGGTGATACCATTCAGACTTGTTTATTCATGGTGATGGCGGTCAAAATAGAAATATTTTGGATTTTTGGAGCTGTACAGTATGCAGGGCTATAATTCTGCCTAAAAAGGATAGAATACTAAACTCTTAATCATAAGATTGACTTTAAACATTATTCTGGTGGGATTAAAATATATATTTAAAAGTAGGTATATATTTAATTATCTTATTGAGTAAGAGTGGGCTTAGTCTTTTGCTTAATATTTTCCTGAATTAGGATCAAGTTTCCTGGGCTCTTTAATAGTGAAAAATGTCAGAGCCTACAGGTTTAAGGTAAATTTGATTGCATCTGTAACATCCTTGGGAATGCTCCAAGTTAATTTTCAGATCTACGTCATTCTTATTTCACGAATTTTAAAGATACTTATTCATATTGGGAAAGAAACCAAAATAAGACTTCATTGACTAAATGGTTTTGTTCCAGTGTGAATTTTTGTGTGGTTACTATATTAATACACCTTTACCAGATCGTCATCTGAGTTACTGTTTTCTTTAGAAGATAGAATTTGACATGTCTTTGATCCCTTTTTTCTTGTCTGATTCTTTCTTGATATATTTACTGTAGTGAATGAGTATCTTGTTCTTGATTCTTCAGGTTAAATTTTCATTGAAGTTCTTTTGCTCTTTTTCTGTCTGCAGTACACTGTGAACATATTTCAGACTTAATAATGTTCATACCAGAACACTGTCATAAAGGGAGATAATAGAGTTGCCTGGTGCCAAGTCTGCTATTTTGATGTTTTGGGTACCTTGATAATCCTTCCTATGTCATATGGCTCTGCTAAAGTACCTGGATTAATGCTCTGCTGATTTAAATAGATGCCTTGGAGTGTTCCGTTCCAGGGCATAATTTCCTTTATTAGTTCATCACAACTTCATACCGGTGACCTTCAAAGTCGTAGTGCAAATTTATCTTCTTTCAGATTCTTCTTTGGAAAAAGCAATGACCCTGGGAAATGGAAGCCACTGGAAGATGTTGCAAAGGGTAATAAAAGAATCCTAATTTTCACAAAATTTTAACTTTGGGTATTGTCTCCCTTTACTGTCATGTGTAAGACCAGAATTATGAATATTCTGAATTGACATTTCAAATTATACTTATGCATCTATAGTGTATATAAAGAGGGTAAAATGAGTGTTTCTGCAGGTCTCTTGAATTTCTGTGGCTATAAAACTTTATTATTGACAGAAGGGTTTAACAAGAAAACATCTCTGCTTGTCTATAAAGGTACAAAGAAAACATGAAATCTTTCAGAGAGAGTACTTTGGAAATACCTTTCATTTACAGACCTTACATGCCACCACAGCAGAGGTCTAAGAAAAGAGAGTGAGCTCCACTTATTCTGCAAGAAGTTATAAATATGTCCCTCTGCACCAAGTGACAACCTGAAGAGGACAAATGACCACCACACAAGTGTTCAGACTCTACTGAAGTGCAAGCCTTTGCTTGGGTCATGTGTCCTCAGTAAAAGTCCTAGATGACCACTAGGATATTAAAAATAGCCTGAACCAAAACCTTACCTGAACAATAAACATAGCTATGTGGTGAAATTCGCCCCGGCCTCCCTGCTTCACTGGGACAGTCATGAAGAACTTACTGCCATCCTTGGAGAAAACTGGTTCTTCATTCTGTAAATGTAAGATTGTGTTAGTTTGTCATACTTTCCATTAAACTTCTTAACAAAACATCAGCTTAGGTTTTCTGTCTCCTTGGTTTTGGTAGTTGCTGTGCTCATAAGAAAACTGGAGAAAAATCCTTAGATTTTAAATGTATTCTGCTAAGATTAACAAAAATGTGGTGGCTAAAGGTAAATGTAGTTCATGCCAGTAGTTACCATTGTGCAATCTTGTCCTTAAGCATGGGTTACAGCCCTTGCAAAACTCTCCCTCCCAATGAACGGTCTGGTAGTCTGATCCCTAATGCAGCGGGACTTTCCAGGATACATTCCTTTACAGACATACAATTAATGACAAGAGATAAGTCCTACTTGTGATGAGGAGAACAAAGGTTTCCATGGTCTGGACTCAGCAAAACATTACTAAGTACATGCTTAACACTCACTGATTTTGATAAAGTTCTATGGAAAAAATAAGCACAATGAATTGATATTCTGAATCATGGTCTTACCATAAATCGTAGCCTGATGTGATATCATCTCTCTATGTCTAACTTGACACAGAAATATTAAAGGAAAACGGCTTGCTATAAAAGCACAGATTTTTTAAAATGATTTCTCATTTGCACATTGCAAAATGAAGCCTGAAATGTATTTTAAATAGAATGTGTTTCATCCATTTATTGGATAGCTCTTCTGAAGCTATGAAAATGGAATCATTTGCTGACATATTAGTTCAACATATTGTTCTGGGTATGAATTTAGAAATATTCTTATGCATTCCAATTATAGCCCGTATGACCTCTAATCTTTGAACTCCTTTGGGTTTAATTTGGTGACGTTATTTTTTAATCAGAAAAAAATTAGCACAACATATAGGACATGCTTGGAATGGGATTCGCCTGATCTATCTTTCACCATCCACAAGTTAGGTAGTTAATCAGCTGGTCATCTAAGTGCTTACTTAACTGAATGCAGAGATTGGAAACTGAAGGGAACATTGCCTCCAAAACCCAGACAGGTGTCACAGTTCGAAGGGCTGAATTGCTCTCTGGAAGTGCGTATCTCTTTCCACCACTGACGTGGTCAGCTAGATAGTGAAATGTCCTCTGTGTGACGCTAAGTGACAGGATTCCCACTACCAGAGAAACAAGCTGCCATCTGAATGTTTACACAGACACTGCTATAATCCTCAACTGTTAAATTAATTTAGGATCCTGAAAAGTATTCAATTTTAAAAGGAATGGATTTTAATAGCTTATAAAAGAACATATAATTAAATAAAAATGACAACTAAGCAATTATACACCCAGAAATAGCATTTATACTATACCTGTTTAGGAAGCCACAGATCTGACTGCATTTCATATTTCTAAAAAAGAAAAAATTGCTTTTATGGAATAGCTATAGATCAAAAATATTTCCCACATTCAGCAAAAGGTCTTTACCTATTTTGCGGGTTTTTTTCTACTGTGTTACAATCTTCACATCTCTTCATTGGCACTTACATTGAAACAAACAATAATTTAATTACAAAGTCAACTGCTTTATTCAGAGTTTTTGGTAGAACACCACAGGGGACCTAAGAATGCCTTTTTCAGTCCTTTCTGATTAGCTATCAAGAAGCTTTACACAGGCAGCTCTATTTGTTTTTTACCTCTAGGCATCATCTGACAACTGGATATTTTAGGTCCTTCATCAACACCGGGCAAACAGCCAGCATCAAGCTCAAAGTGTGAGACCTTTTCAAATCACAATCCCTTGCTTTAATGGGTTGTAGTGTGGCATTAGCGAAGAGGAAAAAAAAAATGCAAATGATTGGTTTTTATTGGTCACACTCATATTTCACATCATGCCATCTTTAAAAAAACCCAAATACCATGCACACATTGTTGGGAAAAAATATAGAATATAAGTCAACTGTTGTAAATAGTCACAGTCACACTGAAGTCATGAAAATTTATTAGCTATAGAAGCATCTGTACATATATGGCCTGAAAAATGAAAAATCTGAAGCTACTGTAGCAGCTGGTTTTACACAGTACTTTTTGGAATTGAGAACATGTGCAAAATGCTAAAAAAAAAAAAACAAACAAACCATAGGCTTACAGTTGAAATCAAATGGTCTGATACAATGTTCAATTCTCACAATATGGTCTTTCCTCATCCATTACTGAATTCAAGAGCATCACCTTATCCCAGCGGAGGAACTGTCCAAGGTTACAAGCACAAGCCCTGCCTGAGCTGTGCTCACTGCAGTGAGCATGGCTATCCTTCCTCACCCACCTATAAGGTCCTTCGCTGCACTTTATTTCTTCTTTCTCAATCTTTCTCTCTTATATTATGTCCTGGATTACAGCTCCCTGGACACCTACTTCAGACAAGTCCAACTGACCTTGGAGCACACCAGGGTTTCCTTTCAGAAGCGACTACTCACAGTGGTTCCCGACCGACTTTCTTAATAAAAGGGCACAAGGCTTGCAGGAACCAGGTAAAAAGCTACCCAATCAACAAATCTCCATGTTCACAATCTTAACCCATAGTTTGGGGACTTATTCGCAGTTTCTGAGTCAGGAAAAGCAACCCGCACTATGTAGCAAAAGAAGCAGAAAAGCTCGGAAATAATCCCTAACACTTTAACATGACTGACTTCAGTAGCAGACACTGATGGGAGCCTTTTGACTCAGAGGCCAAACAGACCTACATTAATCACTCATAACCATTTACACTGCCAAATTATACCCTCTGTTTTGGAGCATCTGTTGTACTGATATTAGCACATATAGAAAATATTTATACTTTTAGCTGGTTCTGGAAAGAGATGGTGACTCAGAATGGGAAAGTGGCCAACTGCATTCAAGATGCAAGATTGACTGTGAAAATGGAGAGATGTAATGCAGCAGTGTCCGAAGTCAAAGTCTGGGTCAACGGATGGGATGTGGCTGGATTCAAATAGAAAACTGTATTTCAGTTTGGCTTGCATTCAAAATGAAATACCCCTGTTGCCTTTCAATTTTATTTTTTTCTGAAGTTATTTACTTCTGCTATCAAATTTGCAGGAATTATCAGAATTTTACACCTTTTCCTTAAACATATGTAAGCTGTGAGAGACAGAAAGATCTGAAATGAAACTCTGTAGGGGGAGAGAGGAGAAACTAGGCAGCTGAAAATATCTGATGGAAGCCAAACTTGTCATTGTGCTAGCGATATCCAAAGTACATGCTGTTCAGCAACTGCAGTTTCCACTGAAGTTAATGAATGAACAAAGCTTAGTAATTCTGAAAATGTCACTCAAAGTTGCTAATTGCATGAAATCATTTCACCAGATTTGGAATTTTCTCACATCTATTTCCTCCCTGTTGACTAATTACATTCAGCTTGCAACTACTGCATCTGCAAACTGATTTCCAAAAAATCTTTTTCTGAATATGAAAACAAAATGTAGCAAGAAACCTTGAAAAGAGAGCTTAGGAAAAAAACTGACTTACCCTGCTGCAAGCCCCAGTTGTGGTTTCACAAACCGTAAGGATGGAGATATTCTGAGGCCTGTTTAACCATCTCACCACAGCTTTGGTGTTGCTTACCCATTTCACCATGGTGATGTAATATTCCCTAAGTAAACATTTGAAAATACAATGTTCAGATCATTCCTATTTCAGATTAGACATTTTTTGTTTAAAAAATATACAGTTCATCAAATGCTGGATTTGTACTGCACAACAGTATGAGTACTGAGGGATGGAGAAAATAACCCCAAATGCCCAGCATCTGTGTTCCTACAAGTGAGAAGGCTCAGTCCTAGTGCACTGTTCCCCTGGGAAATCTGTACTCCGTTAGCATCTCCTTCTCAGCCATTTGTAATATATAAACTTTACCAAATGCGAAGTATATACCTGTGAAACATCTGTTTGCAAACGCACATGAACCATGTACTGGCCAGCCAGCTTAAAAACGAACACTAAATTCCAACAGAAGCCAGTATTTTCCCATACCAAAATACCTTCAGAAGACACACAGTTTTGCAAAAGAATCCAGCCCTACGGCCAAACAAACAAAAAGGTCTGTAATGCTAGAGGGCAGGCGAGACCACTTTAAAACGTCACTTGTTCTAAAATATCAAGTATTTCCTAATGGGACTTCTGCATAAAGGGGAGTCACACCCAGTATCAGTGCGTGTCAGCTTTCCTTTTAACAAATAGCTCATAACATCAGACAAATTGTCTGTCCTTCAACAACCCTGAGCAGGGGAGGCTTCCTAGGCACAGACTAATGGTATGGAGTATCTGCCTCCCTCCTCCCAAAATCCTGTTAGGCTGTCAGGCTGGGGATGTTACAGAGGAAGACCTGTTGCAGCTTGTCATCCCAGCCAGGCTGTTTGCTTCACTTCTCTACTCGTGGCAGCTGGCAGCTTTCACAGTCCAGCTGAGTTATGTGCAACAGTGGAGCGAACTTGTCTGGAAACTCAGCCCCGCTTTAAGACAAGGGTCTTAGCTTGCATATGATTAGGCTTTTAATCTAATACTGATGGAGAACTCACTACTCTTTGACAACACATATTTAATTATACATTCAAAAGCCTTCTTACGAGATCAAAGAGGCTAAGCAGCACCAACAGCAAAGTTGTGTACAACTCTGATGCTGCACACAGGAGATGCAGGAGACAGCAACTCACCGCAGCTTCACCCAGCCTCGGCCTGGTGCTATATTTGAAGAACATTGCTCAACAACCCAATATGCCCAACTTTCTTTTGGCTTTTACATTTGAGTTAGTAAGAGAGAGATTTTCACATGTGGATACCAGAATGATGACTAGAAATGGTGACTTCAGGTATATTCTGAGTCTAATACTTATGGTTTTTCTGTTTAAAAAGCTTTTTAACTTACTGAGGAGCAAATATGTATGCCAAAAATAACACAAGATCTAACACGAGACCAGGTGACACAGCCAACAATGCAATGATCTAACAAACCAACCAAAGAGTGCAACACCAAATCTCAGGTAACTGGTTCCCCATAGCAGAACTCAAGAAACGAGAGCTGAAAACTTCTCCCTCTGCAGTCGTGCCTTCATAAGGCCGTCCAAAACCACTGCAACTGCACACAGAAGCCCAAAAGTAGCCAAAAGGAAATGTTCAAAACATGTGTATACAGACTGCCTCCCTCTACCGGTACTTAGACACCAAGGTAAGACAGCATCCACTGACAACAAAGCCCAAATTATCCCAGAACCAATTTCTACAAAAAGAGCCTGAGCTGTTCCATTTGAAAAACTCTTCAGCAAGGGATGGAAACAGGGGATTTAATCATTCAGAATCCAGCTGACATAGTAATTAATAGCCCAAATCAAACCACAACATCATCTTCCATCACTGACATAAACTCCTTGATCACTGAAGTGAAAGCAAAAGATCATTTTAAAATTCCTTTTTTTCCCCCTTTCATCAACTACGCATAAAAATATGTTCAAACTTCACTACATTATAACTTGTTTATCAGGAGCGTAGTACAGTGTATATTCATATATGCAGAAACACACACCATTCTGAAATTAAATACTGTCTCCAGGTAATGTTCCTTTGCAATTCACAGTTTTGCAGTTAATCTATTGTTTCATGTATACAGTGCACATACACACATACAGAGTAGTGTTGTTGCAGGTCAACAGATATAACCAAGTCGAAGTTTGTAGAAGAAAATCATATGTTTTATTAGACTGGCTGATACAGTTGAATAAAAGAAGAGAAGCCTGCAGGGCAAAAACTGTTTTAGTTCCAAGGAAGCTGCTATCAGTTTGTGTCTCCAAACTTATCAGGATATTTTTGCAACTAATTTATTGTTCTAGTAATGAAAATAAGCACTCTCACTTTCCCTGCAGACCCAAATACACAAATATCCTGGGATTACTAGACGCTCTGCATCTGTACGTACATTAAGTTTCCTCACAACATCACTTTAAAGAGGAAAGACTATGATTGCTTTCTGGACAAAGGACTGAAGCAAGATATTAAATAAAAATTTACACTCATTTTAGATCCTCAATTTGATATCCATTTAAACAGGTGCTCTACAGCACTTTGCATGTTCAGAGCACAACTTTCATCCTTGTTCAGGAACATTTCTTAAACCAGACTGTGGATTAATTTACTGCATGTCCAAAGAGTAACAAACACAATTACCGATCACCTGTGCAATGTTAGTTTAAACTCACTGTATCACACAGAGGCTGCGTGGCAGAGACAGAATCCAGTTTTAGCATTCAATTGGCCTAATAAGAGCAGACTTCCCTCTCTTGCTGTGGCTTGTTTTATTCAAGCTGTGTCTCCCCACCCCACTCCTAACTTCCTTTTTCCTACATTTTGTAGTTCCAGGGTTTTCCTTATTGATCCCTTCTCTCACAGCAGGGCCACTATAAGACGATCACGGGAACCATAAAACCCCTTTGTTGATACTCATCTCCTCTATCCTCACCATCTCACCAGCTCTCTGGGTTCCCACTGAAATCCCCGATTGTCAAGAAAACCTCATTCAATCCCTGCCTCATAGACCTGCCTTTTGTTTTTTAGCCAGTCCCTATTTCATGGTCTAATCTTTATAGAGTTTCTTCCCTCTCACCTGTCCTAGGATTTTTTCTGTTCTAAATTCCAAAGAGATTGCTTTCTTCTTTAGTCTGTATAAAAGCAGACAGAAAACACTGAAAACACAGAAAAGGCAGTCTCCTTCCACAGCATCCCATGATCAGTCAATATTGAAGGAGCTTGCACATGACTCACTTTATTCTAAGTTGGATTGAATCAGGCGATGCATAAAAACAAGAGCTTCAAGCTCCTTGACCAGACAGAGAGCTACTTCTGATTCCTCATTTGTATTTAAATCTGTTGCTTGGCTTCAAATTGGCCTAAGGCAACTATATAAGGTAATCAGTATAAAGAAGGTACAGCTTTCCCTTAGGTCTGTGAACCAGGAACATGACATGTATACAGTCAGCTCAATAGTAGGAGCTGGAACATCTCATATGTGCTGAGGAGGTGCTGCACACTGAGGGGGATGGAGGATATTCAGTGAGAAAAAAATTTCCAACTGTAGGTATGAAGAAAGCAAATGTCTTTCCTGAGCATATGGCAATTAACTTTTTTCCAAAGATTTGTAACTTGATGAAATCTGGATTCGTTTTTCACTGCTGATAAAAAACATGTTAAATATCAAAGGTGTTTATCATCTTTTGCTAAGCTTGAAGACCCAATGTTTTTTAATCTTTCTTTCTTATAGAATGTTTTCCTTTACTTTGATTATGTCAATTGATACACAGTTCTATGGAAGTAGTTTAACAGTTTGCTAATACATTTATCATCACTCAAGAATGTCCAGCACGTCTTGTTCCACTTGTAAGTTTTGGGATGCTTGTAACTAGAAAGATACGTATGTGTGTATCTTGCTGGCTGCTATTGTAAGTGCTTAGCAAAGTCAACAGAGACAATAAGCTGAACAAAGGAAAGGGATTTGCACTGCATTACACTGGAAGCATAGTTACAATCATAATTAAATTTGAACATTAAATACTTAGATTTGAAATAGACAGTCTAACCTCACAGGAAAAAAAACAGTTTTAAAATTTAAAATAAGAAACTGTTCAAGAAAAAGAGTCAAACTTTGCAACTTCATACCATTCACTATAATGAAGAAATCTGCTCTAACTTTAAGCCAGTGAGCTGATTATGAAAGAAATCAGCTTATAAGAATAGCTGGAAGACATTTAACATTTATGGCAATGGAAAAAGGAACTGTACTTTTGATGATCGTATTAATAATTTGGATTTGGACAATAAATACAACAAGGTTCAGCTAAAGGAAGCCAACCTATTTCACTCTACTAGTTTGCTGGCAGGTTGTTATCTAAGAAGGTAAACAACAGAAACTTGCCCAATGCACAATGCTCTAGAATATTTACTATATTCTTGAATTATTTATTTTGTTGTGTATTGAAAAGCATATGAGAATTTACAGATAGTAATAGAAAATGTCATTCTCAGAAACACACATGGAAAACATCACAAATTGAGACATGACCTGCACGGTAGCCAAGGTAACTACAGTTTGTCAATATTTTGGTATACTATACATGACTTTATCTATGCATACATTGATGGATGTACTGCAGTTTTCTTTTGAGACTAAGCCACAGGTATTTGGTTGGAAGGAGCTTTTCTAGCTCCCCTTCCCATGGGTGCTGGTGGCCACCATCCTAGCCAGGCTAACAAGCTCTGCTCCCCATTTCCTCGCAGCCATGGGCCCTGGCCACAACCATCTTGGTAGCCCACTGAGGGACTCTCATCATCCACCCTGAATCCCCAAATTGGTATGGGTGATGCTCTGCCTTTACAGGTGATGGACAGAGCAACCTCTCTCAGTCTGCTGGCCACACTCCTCCTAGAGCAGGGTCCAGCCTTGGTGACAATAGTGTGCGCTGTTATCTCCCATTCAGCCCCACACAAATCCCTCGGCAGGACGGCTGGGCAGGCAGCGGGTCCCAGCCCCTGCGACCCAGGGGCTTATCCTGACCCATGTGCAGAACTTGCATTTCTTCCCACTGAACAGGGAAGGGAATAATCAATAAATGCCTTGGCATTGTGTGGGAAAGCATCAATAAAACAAAGTATGTGAATATATTTTTATCCTGTAGGCTTTGGCTGAATAGATTACAGCCATTTGCTATCAGGTATGATAGTGAATTAATCCTTTACATTAACCTTGTGAGATAGGTAGTGTTATTGCCAAGTTACAGAAGAGGGGAGGGGCAGAAGCGTGAAAGAAGTGACTAGACATAGCACATCTAAGAAAAGCAGAAAGTAAACCCCAGTTTTCTTAATACCAAATAGCACACTCCCCCATCTTTCCCATTTCCAGTTAGAATCAAATAAGCTTTCTATTCCAAAGCAAGGGTCAGACAAACTGGCTGCCAGAAGTATAAACCCAACCTTTCTAGATTCAAAAGGTGATTTCAAACTAGAAGTACATAAATATCCAAATGATTTTGTTGATTTGGAAATGCATGGATGATAAAAACATTAGTGCAGCTTGTAAGAGCATTATTTGAATTCATGCAAACTCAACTTCTTAAGTGTTTCCAGTTTCATTAAAAAAGATTAATTAAAATCAATAAAAATGATTTAAATTTGTCATACAAAGTCAGAAGGGTCTGACTATGTATTTCAGTCTCTTTAAAAGCAGGTATATTATGAAATGAGAATGTGGACATCTAGCATTTTTTCAGGCATTTAAATATTATTGAAAAAAGTCAGAAAAAGGACTGACTTCATTTCTTACAGTGCGTTTATAAAACTACCTGATCAGCAGTGGCTGGGAATAGTGTAGAGCCAATGCAGCTTGCTCACTGTGGCTGAGAATGGGGAAAGCAAACAGTGGATGACCCCCACGCTGAGACTTTTGAGAGCATGGGGTTTGAAAAATTAGCCTACATAATTTCTTAATATCATATTAATACCTTATGTCTAAATATCACCAGTTACAAGGATTCTTCAGGTGTCCTAAGGTGCAGTGGTTTGAACTGACCGCTTGCACACCGTATCACTTTTTCAAGATTTGCAGCAGGAGGTGTAAGCTTTCCAACTGGAACTTCAGGAGCTAGCAGCGTACGAATGCACACATATTTCATCTTACATGTATACTGGCTTGCTAGGACTAAAGAGAAAAAAACCCTGCAGTACAAAATTGTGTTTGCCTCTGAAGAAAACATAATGTAATTGTACATGTGGAATGGAAACACCAAGGGGGAAACAGTAATTCCACAGAATATAACCACATGTTTAAAGGAAGACTGTTAGTCTTTTTGTGGCATTAACAGTGCACAGTAGATGGTAAATTTTTCCACAGAATAAAACTTTCAGGAGTAAATTTACAAATGTTATTGCTATCCTTATATCAGAATAACCTGAACAAAACTTGGGAAATATTACCAAGCACCTTTATAGAATCACTGCAAGAAGTAAATGAAGGCAGAACAATTGAATTTACTCAATCTTACATCTAGTTCCCAGATGCTCTAAAAATCAGAGAAACAGTTTTCTGTCTTCAGAGGTCCTGCACTGCACACAATTTGGGGAGAGTTGAGAATCTGAAAGTTACTTTTTGTGGTTATAAATAACAGAAGCCCCCTTCCCTACCCATTTGTTTGGTTTCTCTGTGTAGGAGTGAATATCTCCCGTAATAGCAGTTGCTTATGACTTGTACAATATGTATTTCCAAAATGTTTCTGCCCTGAAAGATCCATAAAACTATATATGGTAGTGTCCCATTCCATTTAATTCTGAAAGACTCCCATGACCTATTTACTAATGACTCCATAACGAATGGATTAGTAAGGTACTAAAAAAAATTGACTGCTAAAAGTAGCTACTACTTTTATTAAAAAAGCTAATACTTTAAAAAAACCCTCCCAACCATTACAAACTCCAAAGATTTCCACTCTAGAAAGGCCTGTTCAAACCTTATTCTTCATACCTGTATATATATTGATATATGGATATATACGGATTGATGACCAGTGTGATGACTGACTGCTACTCAAATCCAGAGTCAGAATGTAAGATTTACAGTGTACTTGGCTGACAACTATGTAATTTTTCTAAATTTTATAGCACAGACATTATACCTTAATAGCTAAAATTAAGATGAAACTAACTTTTTCCAGGTTTAAGTAGTTTTACTCTGTCTTCTGATACAGCAGCAAAACAGAATTTTAAACATGAATATTACTGCAATTAAACAGCAACAATATCAAGGACTCAAAAATCTGGCAAAGATGCCCCTTAAGGCTCACAAAAGAAATTCCACAAATTGAGCTACTGCTAGCCTTCAACTTCAAGATGCAAAAAAGGTTTTAAGATACCAATATTCATTCTTTTGCTTCTACTTTCAATCTTCTGGGGAGGAAGAATGCATCTGAAAAATCTAGAGTGAAACCATAATACCTGAACAACATTTTCAAGATTTTTTTTTTTGTTGAGGATTTACACATTGCTTTCTCATTTCACTTCTTCGTGCCTTCTGACATTTAAAGGACAATTTTAATGCTGTTTAAGAGAGTTAAGATGCTAATCTTGATGGCAAGGAATCTCTTTCAGATCTTACACTACCACTTAAATTAATGAAGGTTTAGCAAGCAGCAGAAGATTTTATTATGTTTTTCAGTAGTGGCCCATCAACAGAAAGAAAATACTTCAAAAAGCACAAAATCATTCCTTTCACTAACACAATCAGTAAGTATTCCAGCTGACATAAATAACTGCAAGGCATAATTCACCATTAAATTATTCCTGCACTAAATTAGGGTACCTCAGTTTGTGTAGAAGAGAACTACGCCAGCTTAGAATTGGTTGCAATGGTTGTGAATCAGTGCCCATGTTAACATTCTGATTGTTTTGGGAACAATTACCAAAAAATCTTTTGGGTTTTGTAGGAACTGCAAAAACAGCAACTATAGTCAGAGGGGTTTTTTTAGCTAGAGGTAGCTTTATGGTTGCCAATCCTTTCCACGTCTTTCCCCATCTGAAAATTCCCTGAGTGATGAGAGGAAGTTGCACTTCCTGGGCTCTTAGACTGCAGCCAGATCTGGACTGTGGTAACTCTTCTATTGGTATTATTACCTACATTGTGTACTAATTTAGGCTTAGAAGATCATTAACGTGCACTGAAACCACAATCGGAATTTAATCAATAAAACTGCAATTCTACAAACTGGAATACGCATATGGGAAGGGATGAAAATTTTCTTGCCCTTAAACAAAAGTTTCAAGGCACCTCAAATTGAGGACAAGTAATCGGGACCTCAGCTTAAGGTAGTAACTTTAGCAGGAGATTCACCTGCTAAACAGCTAAGCAGCCAGACCTCCTTTCTTCAGCCCCAAAGTCAAAGGGACTGTTAAATTAGGTCAGTGGTTGCAAAGCAGTTTCTCCTGAAAAACACAGCACAGCCCTTCTTAGTCTATGGGACCCGGTGGCATCGCATCTCACCTTCTGTCACCTCACTGCATCTGTCAGCCGTGATGAGAAACGAAACTTTCCGTAACCTGTTGGATTTGAAAAGTTCAGAATATTTCTCTCTAAACGAGGGAACACCCTGATTACGTGTTCTGTGCATTTGTAATACGCTTCTATATTCTACAATCTCATTTCAGAAACTGAAAGCAACAAGTTGGCACACAGTAAGGAAAGGCTGGGAGTCAATGCAGTAACGACCTCTGAAACAGGGCGGTGTTCAGCCCCTTCGACCATAGCTTAGGATTCTTAATTTCATATATTTCAAGTAAATTGGAGCTTCTCAGGACATCAAACATGAGCAAATACCAGATCCCTGTGATTTTTAAGAGGAGCATCAATCCAATACAGCTGTATTTTATTTTACCATTGTTATGTTCATCCACGGGGACTGAGATAAAGAGCATGCCGGTCAAAGATAAGTGGTGTGCTGATGTAAAAAAGCAACAATTAGCCTGAGAGACAGTCAGGTTAAATTAAACATGAGTTTCAAAACAATGAAATTCTATACCTTGATTTAAAGCTGTCAGGTGGCATCAGTTCCAGTGTATGTGCTGGTCCATACAGATCAACTACAAACAGCTTTATTGTTGGGTTTGTTTGACCTGCCTTTGAAAAAAGAAAATAAGAGCTTTAGAGGCACTGAATCAGTGACAGCTAAATAGAATCACTCATTAACATAATTCAGTATCTTTATAATAATGAGAAATTATTACAATTTAAAAATCTTAAACTTTAAAAAATAATTTCAGAGCCATATGAATTACACAGATAAAAATATGAAGTATTAATTGAGGAATTCTCTCACTGCCTTTACCGATGGCAGACCTTCCTGTGCAGAGCAAGGGACCAACACTAGAAGTGGTTTGGCCCAGTTCAGTAAAGTCAGCTGCAAAAACAGAGCCGGTTCCTAAACCAGCAGTTAAACCCAGCCTCCAGCAAAGTCTTTTCCACACACTATTGTTCCTTCTTCCAAAAAGCTGTCCTATATCTGAGATAACATTCCTCCTCTTCCTCCTCTTTCTTTACCTTTTTCCACAGTCTTCCTTCCCTGGCTTGCTGAGATGGAAACCTCTATTTTTGGCCCTGTTCTGGACCCAGCTGCTTTGGCAGGCCAGCTCTAAGAGAAACAAAATGCTTCTTGTTGCTAAAGGGGAATAAAATGGCAGTTTGATACATATCCACTGGGAAGAGTGTGATAAGTCCTGAGGATCTACAAGGAGGTGGGACTCCTCCTCCTCCCAGTAACATGGCTCATTACTAAGGGAGGTTCCTGAGATGAAGAGAAAGGACTGGCAATAAAAGGCAAAGCTCTGCAGGGCTGGCAAGCAGATGCTACTAGTCCCATCTCCCTGTCCTAGCCGTATCATACCCAAGCTTCTTTTTGATGTAAATCACAGGAGTCACACAACACTATATAGCGTCCTTGGGATACGGCGAATAAAAAGTGTGTCTCTCAATGGGGCTGACTCCTGTTTAATATTGGAAGGACAAGGTAAAACCACAGATTCTACAGATTTAATTATAATAAACTACAGAGTTGTATATCTGGCTCTTCACAGGGGTATTTAAACTCCCTTTAGGAATTGAACTTATCTCAAAATATAGTCTGAATGATATGGGGGACAAGAAAGTAGTATTTATGTATTTTTTACTAGTGCTAAAAAAATTTGAAAATGGATTTAACAAGACTCCTGGAATTCTTTTTTTTTTTTTTTTTTTTTTTCTCCATAAAAACTTTTACATTTGCCTCAAAAGAAATGTGGTCTTTCTAAGGCATCCCCTTCATGAACACAGCTTACACAAATGCAAAACTGTGGAAAAAAAACACTGACCAAGTCCTTAGGACACAACTGCAGTCTCCTTATATCTTTTGAACCTTACATTGACTGCATAGTGGTATCCAAGTATCTCACTGGGAGGGCTGCCATGCGTAATTACTATCCGGCATGAGCATGAGCTGTAGAGAGACACTCTACGGCACGCCTTCACAGAGGGCATGGCCGGATCTGCGCTAGCCCCTGAACAGAAGCGCAGAAGAACAGCACTACCTCTCCGCAGAGTCTCTGCTACAAATAGCCACGGTGTGCCCTACGCTGCTGCGTGGTAGGTCTGAGCTACAGCTGTACAGCAGCGGCTTCTAGCTCGAAACAAGGTCTGTCCCTGCAGTTGGGGAGGTGCTGTGGTCAGTGGGGCGAAGACCGAGCGCTCCCGCAGCCTGTGGTGGGCTCGGGCAGCTGAAGGTGGTTTTTCTACCTGAGTAGAAAAACTCACATCCACATCTCTCCCTCAGCAGTGAACAGCCTCAACTCCTCTACCACTCAGGGTCTCCTCATGACAATTTAAATAGTATAAATTTTGTATAATACCCAAAACATCTGTTCAGTAGTGCAAGAACTATTTACATTGAAATCCTACTTTGTTCTCAAGGTATGTAACAAAATTTAAACTTCCTTTTTCACATTTTTTTTTGAAGAATATAGTCTGTGCGTGACATGTACACAGATGCACATGTTCCAGTATTCACAAACACACATGGGTTTAATTTTATTTTTTAATCATAGATACAATTTTCTCCGATGGTTTCATTCTATAATAAAGACCAAACCTTTTTTTTCCATCTCTGTTGCTATACTACAAGCTTCGTTACCAATTAATGATGTTTAACGGGTACCTAAATTGGCATTAAATGGAGGCATTAAATAAAGATAATGTTTTTTCATTAACGAGATTACTGAAGTGGTATTGTGTATCACTTTTATGCTGAATTGCTAATGAAATGGAATTACTCATTTCTTGTTTACAAAGCTGACTTTTAAAAATATTCCTTATTTTTTCTCTGCTCTGTCACTCAAGGCCTTTTGCCAATGCAAGTATACCTTTGAAAATACTGTTACTTTATTATTGTAGAGTATTATTTCATAGCACAAATACATTACATTTATATCATGCGTTGTTTCACAGTACCTGGTACAGGCTAACTGTCCACCGTCAAGAATAAAGGGTCATCACCAAAAAACAATAGCAGGAATAGGGTAACAGTAATATTTTCTGAAGCCCTCAATGAACTTCCCTTGAAATGTCAAAGGAGTACCACATACATGGACCTACATATCCTGTCAGAAAGGAACTCAGACACTTTGAAATTGCACGCAAGGGATGGATAAACTGGTAAGTTGGAAGGTAATACCAGTGCTGGAGCTCAGAACAAAAATGATAGCTAGGGAGGCACCTAATCAGGAAATCCCCAGAAAAGGAGGAGCGATTTCAGACATTATCCCTGTCTGGGCTGTTCTTTTACTTTTCAGCAGGCATCTAAAAACCCTGCTCTAAATCTTCTGAAACACAGTGATAGCTCTACTTTTTATATATTTTTTTTCTCATTTTGATGGCCAGGAAAAGATTTTACTGTGGCTTACCTTATTCAAGGCCAGCCTGTCACATTTATTAATAACAGCATAATTTACTGAGATCTATATAACTGCAATGGAACATGTCCTGCGCTCTGCACACAGTCTATGACTCCACTGCAGTTGTGACAGGATCTTTTTTTCTGTGCAGTTGTTCAAACATATTACCCTTCTCTCAGAAATGCTGGATTGATTTTACCAAGCCATATATCAATGATGAAATTACTACAAATTAGTTTGTCTACTGCTCCCTCACCCAATGGTTTCTTTCCAGCAAAAGGTGTTATAGTCTACTGAAAAAAAATGTAATTAATATTTCCTGAAAAGCAACATCAGCCTCTGTTACTGTCTAGAAACACTCCTTCCATACAGTTGAATACTATCACTAAACAAGGAAGAGGAGGTGGGGGCTGCACTCACACTCATCTTACCTTAGGATATGGATACTGCTTTCCTTTTGGATACTCTTTCCAGCAAAAGGTGTTATAGTCTACTGAAAAAAAATGTAATTAATATTTCCTGAAAAGCAACATCAGCCTCTGTTACTGTCTAGAAACACTCCTTCCATACAGTTGAATACTATCACTAAACAAGGAAGAGGAGGTGGGGGCTGCACTCACACTCATCTTACCTTAGGATATGGATACTGCTTTCCTTTTGGATACAGAC